TACTTATTCATTTTTTAAATGCATTTTAAATATCGCTTTCTGGGGTGATTAATATATATATATATATATATATATATATATATATATATATATATATATATATATATATATATATATATATAAACCATCTTCAGGACATATTCATAAAATATAATTAACATTATCAATTCAACATGATTTTATGAATATGTCCTGAAGATGGTTTATTAGACCGAAACGTCCGACGTTGACATATTAACATTAAAACAGCATAATTGTATATAAGAATTTTTGTTTGTTTTTTCCGTATATTTTTCTTCATACTGTCGGATCTATATCCATATATTTCCATATATATATATATATATATATATATATATATATATATATATATATATATATATATATATATATATACACCTAGTGAGCCAGACAAACCTACCTAGGTTTCACCTAAACGGATCGTCAGGGAAAATCGGCTAAAGAGGCAAAGTGAAACGCATATTACTGGCGATAGCTAAAATTATACCATGTGACCAAAGAAAGAACCACACAAACGCAAACACAAACCACCTGAGTATTAAAGATTTATTCACCAAAAAGGGGAGGGGATATCAAAATACAAACATTAAGGTGGAATGACAAATAAACGGGAATATTCGTCTAATTTAGTAACCAAGATTTTTTATGCCTACATATGTTAAGAATTTCAGTTTAATTTTTTCGTTTTTAAAACTATTCGTGTGGTTATTTTTTTTTAATTTATCCTGAGTAGCACCTATATTATCTTTTTTTTTATCCATATAGCATTATCGTGGAATAGCAATATTTTTCTACAATGTCTAATTAGGTTCATGTTATCATCAGAGATTTGGATGTATTCTTTGGCTAAGCTGAGGGCTTCATTTAGGGTTTTCTCTGAAATAGACGGGTAATATTTCTTAATATCATACCTAATGAATGAGCACTTTTCATTTTGTTGTAATTTTCAAACCATTTAATGCAATCCTTAGTTGATTACCATTGGTTAATATTAAGGAAAGTCATCAGGGATTTACATATATCCTGCAGAATTATCTTACTTATCTTACCTAATTCTGTTTTGGTAGGGTTTATGAGTCTATATTCAGGGTTATTAATAAAATTACTTTTATGGTGTTTTATGGTGATAAAGCAAGTGTTTAGGTTTATTTTCTCAACCCGATTACCTAATTCAAATTTATTAATTAAGATATTAGCATCTTTGTTAATTTTAGTCTCTATGTCATCTGGGGCTTTTATATAATGTTTTATTACTTCTTTATGTAATATTTTTTGTAATTATTGGGGCTCATTTTATATAAGAATTTAGATTTATCGGCTTTTATGTAGATTTTCTTATCATTCTTTATTTCTTTCATGTTCTTAGTAATTTGCTGTTGCACGTTATTATTTCTTATTTTTCTATATTTTAATTTTTTAATGATGCCGATTAACTCCGATTCGAAGTTATTGAGTTCCTTAACATACGGGGGATGGGAATTGGTCTTAAATCCATAGCTCTCGTTGGTTTTGCTATTAGGTTTATTATTTAGACGAAAATATGCTCGCCACCTCATATTTATTATAAATTTTTCTATTTTTCTTAGTAAACATAACACATTTACATTTACACGTTCCATATTAGTCGATTTAAAACAGTGCTCTATAGAATAACCTAGAGCTTTATACATACAAATATAGATAACTATACTCGTTTCGAAAAACCCTCGAATTTTTGATTTGCCAATAATCAAATCAATCTCGAGGGAAAAAAAGGTTTTAAAAAAAGAAAGAGCTAGAAGCATGGAAGTCTGTCGAAAAAAATCGCACAGATACAGGTTTAAAGCCTAAAGGAAAAAAACCGATACGAGTAAACAACTAACTAAAGAGCTCAATACAACTGTAGAGCAGAGCTATATATATATATATATATATATATATATATATATATATATATATATATAAAAATATATATATATATATATATATATATATATATATATATATATATATATATATATATATATATATATATATATATATATTATAAATTAATTGATTTAAAATATGTTTTTCCTTTACACAGTTCTAACCATGTTTCAAAAATAGAAGCTAAAAGCCCCTGAATTTAATTTTGCAATTAAATTAAAATTTTAGCTTCTAATTTTTGAAACATGGTTAGAACTGGGTAACAGAAAAAACATATTTTAAGTCAATTAATTTATAATATTAATGCTCTGTAAATTTACATTGAGCACTATTTTGTAAAAATAAAATATCTATAAGAACACTGGATTTATATATTACTGTTCTTTCTTTATATATATATATATATATATATATATATATATATATATATATATATATATATATGCAGGAGAAGAAGCTGTTTGAGGGGAAGAGACAGTTTACATTTAACTGTTTTGACACTGAAAGGGTGGGACCGAGATGACAGCACGGTAGCACTTTTATATTTATATAGTCCGGTAAACAGCGAAAGTAGCTCGTCGGAACAGTTGCCTTGGAAATAGTTGTAGAAAAGATAGAGGGAGGCCACAGCACGTCTGGGGTATAGCGATTGTAGACTAGATGCCAGATCAGGACCTATCATCGTGCATATTCGTCTCTGGATTTTTCAAGTACCTCGAGACGTACAGCGAGAGAAACAGACCTTATATGACAGCAAATGTTCCTCGCTTTATAGCTTTCTTCTACCAACCTATCTAGGGTTAGGAAACGGTAGAAATATAGTTCTGCAGAAGGATGCTGAGGATTCCATAGACAGAGCAAGTAAGCAACGAAAAAGTCTTAACGAAAATGATAACTAAAAGAACAGTTATATTCAGAATCAGAGGGCCCCTCGAGGTGGTGTAATGGTTAGCAAGCTTGTCTCGCTAGAACAATTATGAGTGAGTTCGATCCTCACTGGCTGCCCCATACTTTCGGCCTTGTGCCACATCTGAGCTACGCTTGAAAAATCACTATATTCAGAATCAGAAAGAGACAACTGAAATATCTTAGACACATAATGAAAAAGGAGCGCTTGGAAAGTAAAACACTCACAGGGCGAATCGCGGGCAAGAGCGCAGGGGGAAGTCAGAGGGCTAACTACATGACGAGCTTGTATTAACGGATGGCGGAACGGGAGCCGGGAGGATTGGCATAGGGAGAAACGCTTCTAAGGGCCACGTGGGATAAGAAATTGTCGCCCACGTCCTGAAGTGTCAAGGCACATAGAAGATTGCGGACATCGTGGATCACAGGAGGATGAATTCGATGCGGGACTTTGAGATCAAATATGATTTAGAAATTAGCTATGGCAGCCATGAACAATACTAACAGGTTTTAAAAATGATCTAATATTCTTGATATCTTTATCTCTTCGCAGAGTTAATATCACTATCGTCGGTGGGCTGGTAGGGAAACGGTTATCAACGAGGAATGTGTAAGCGGTGTCGAGTTCAATTCTCACCTTCTCTCTTTCCTTCATTTCGTAATAACGATCTTACTCCAACTATGGGTTAAATAGCAGGGCATATTTCTTGCCTTGAGTAGCAGCTAGTCTAGGAGGCGTAAACCTCTTAATAATATGACAGGCTGTGCTTTTTAGCCTTGATGTGACAACCAGCCTAGGAGAAGGAAAACTGAATTTAAATCCACCTTGAAGAAGGCTGGACTTCATCATAGCATCCCACTAGCATAGAATTGAGGTATATCCGTTGCCCTAACGACAGTCATAGGCTTCCTGACTCCTTATCATTTAATAAATATATATATATATCCATTTCTTGACTAAGATACATGCTTGTTTATAAGATTGGAGCTGATGTCAAGGTTTTATATCCCTCGACAACTTCGTATCCTCCGTGGTCCTTAATATCATGTCTCCTGTTGCCAAACCTCCAGCCTCCCGTTCTGCCAGCCATTAACATAAGCTCGTCATGGACTTCCCCTAACTCTCTTGCTCTCAATACGCCCTGTGAATGTTTTGTTTTCTGAGCGTTCCTTTCTCATTATGTATCCAATATATTTTTCCTATCTCTTTCTGATTTTAGTATAGCTGTTCTTTTAGTTACCATTTTCTTTGAGATTTCTTCGTTGCTTATCGCTCCGTCTATGGAATTCTCAGCATCCTTCTGTAGAACTATACTTTTAATGTTTCGTAACCCTAGACAGGGTGGTAGAAGAAAGCGATAAAGCGAGGTACAAGGACTAACCATCAACTGCAAGACGACAGAATGTACGGTAACCTGCAAGATTGAGCTGATATCAAAACTCATGATTTTAAATACAAGTAGAAAATACCCCCTTCCTTGCTAACTCCATAGAAACGTATACCATTGTGTACTTGTAAAATCTGTAATAGCCCAATTGTATGAAAACCTATCAATCGGTTTCGGTCTGTATCTCTGTGCCTCGACTCATTTCCCTGTCCTATTAATTGTGATCAAACTATTTATCATGCCGCAGAATGCATTTGCTCATTCTTTTTCTCAATCAATCAGACGGTCAGAACAATCCAATTAATCAATCAGTCTATCTTACTCATCGATTCCAGTCCAGTTTATTTCATCCTTTACTGTTATATTCCCCAAACCCACTCTGTGGACAGCCAGCCCACAAAACACCGCTCCTCTTCCTGTCTCTTGTCAACCCGTTCTCTGATCTTGCCTCTCGTTTCCCCGGCCCTGTTTTTCTCTCAAGTTGCATCTTCAGGATGTCGTCTGCGTTTACTCTCCTTCTTTTATTTCTCCTCTCCTTCAATTTGATAAATGAATGAATAGATTCAAGAACGGCAAGCTGCGAAAACGCGACTCTTTTCGAAGATAAACGAAGCTGCCGCAGAAAATGAGCCAATTTTCAGGCCGGCAAAATCGCGCAACCAAAGCCCAAAGAAGAAGAAGAAGAAGAAAAAGAAGAAGAAGAAACTCCGAGCTGGCAGAAGGCCGGAGTAATCGGTGGCTGGAACGCGGGATATTTTGACATGATAACGATGATAAATGGGCCTACGTAATGAGCGCCCAACGTGTCTGGCATTGCGTTGGACCTCGCGGGAAATCGGCAACAAGGAAATCAGCCCTGCTTGCAACGCTATTGATTGGCCGGCGAGCTGCTTTACTCCCCACAAATTTGACAATTATCGAAGTTTACGGCTTCCCGGCAACAATTATGGCCAAATATTAATGTCCATCAATGAAACTAGCAGCAGCCGTCCCGGAAGCGAGTAGGGTAAGTGGACGGTCAGCTAAACTCGGTAGAGAATGGATAGCGATGTCGGGTCATGGCAATTGTCTCGAAAGCTATGCGTCCGTGAATAATTATTTTAATGTGAATATTGCTTGAAAATAAACTGAAGCGTTCGCTATTAAGGTATTTAAAAATATCAAATTGTCTTCCTTAAATAAGGGAGCGCTGAAAAGGCGACTCCCATTTTCAAATTTGTGTAAATCGATGTTTATAATTCATTCTATATGCCAAAGTCAGGATGGTAACAAAAATTCTCTCTTAGAATTTTCCAATTGCTAAAGTGTCTTTTAAAAGAATCCACTGCATTAACCTCAAAGAGTAGGGTAGGTTGATTTTTTTTTTTTTTTTTTTTGTTTTTAGAAAATCAACATAGCGATCGGAAAACTGGTGTCTCATGTGGTAAGTACAGACACGAAAAATTAGATGCATATTTTTCACCAATTTTTGAGCGTTGAGTTGTAAAGATTGTCTTAAAAATATACAGAAATAAGTAATTTCCGCAGGTTTTTTTGCTTAGAAATTAACATTAAAATTTTACTATTTCAAGAATAAATCCAAATAAAGTTGATATATTTTGTATTAGATACATTGAATGGAAAATATATTCAAATTAAAATTCTAATTATGATTCACAAGCAAAATAAGCAATTTTTTATAGTATTCGATAAATAAAAACGGCAGAAAATATTGTAAAAAATTACAAAAAAAGGCTACTCAAGTAATAAGTTTTGTTAGATCATTTGATAAATCATAATTAATAAAAACAAAAAAATCGATAAAAGTCTATATAAAACCATGATATTGCTGGGTACAAATTATACGACATGTTTTAAATTTGCATGTTTACTGAAAATTACACTAAAACCACAGCACTGTATAACATATTACATAATATAGATAAATTGTTCAATATAATATCACATTGAAGGAAATAAAGGTCATATTTAATGTCACAGTGATTTAGTAATAATGTGCTTGTCATGCATCTTGACCATATACTATTTGTAAAGCTTCAGGAAATTATAATTTTTTTAACTGTGTTTTATAAGGCTTTCGTTGATCACCAGAGTGAAATTCCAACGCTAAGATTTTGAACCTAAGCTTAATTTTTAAGCTCGTTTCCTCAAAAAGGTAAGCTCACACCTCTCACCTGTGGAACTCCCATCCTTTTTCCTGTTTCCCTGATAGCTATAATCTCTAACAATTCAAATGTAATGTCAATCGACATCTCCATCTATCCACTATACTTCTCTTCATCCTTTCCTCTATCACCCCCATCTGCTCTCGCTCCAAATCCTCTGTAACCCCTTGCGTGCTACTGGCTTCCCGCCTAGCTTGGGGTGAATAGATTTTTAGCATGTCAAACTACAGCTTTAAAGCTGAATGCAATCCCAGGGTTAGTAAAGTTTTTTTTTCTTTTTTGCTATATCTCCTAATCCTTGTTCGCCCATCCATTAACAGAAGAGCGTTAGGCGCCATATACGCTGTTTTCTTTTGTCCTTCTTGCCTTCAGTATGACCTATGAGTATCGTATTCCCCAAGAACTCATTCCTCAGTATGTCTCTTTCTGATGCAACCTATAACTGTCCTTTTTTCTTTCCATTTTCCCCAAAATTTCGAAGTTGCTCACGTCTTCACTTTATGATATTCGCAGGATTCTTCTGTAGAACCGCAATTCTGTTGCCTCATGTCTCTTCTAAATCAATAATGAGATTGTACTGCATTCACTTCCATATAGCAGAACCAATATTATATAACAGTTCAATTCACATTTCCTTCTGACCATTGAAAATTTCCTATTTCTTAATACGTTGCATATCTTTTGGAAGGCATATTTATCTAAAATACTGTGCCTTACAATTTTATCATTCGGACAGCCAAAACGAAAGAGAATTTGTCCTGGGTATGACGATAAACTAAGGCCTTCGACTGAGAGGTTGGAGGTTTTGAGGAGCATGGAACCATCTCTTACCTGCTGTTGTTCCTTGGTCCAACCTGATACGGGTTAGTAGCGTCTGTTAGGGTCCCAGCTATGGGCAAATAGTGCATCCCCAAACAAAAATCAACCGTACATTTTTATAATAAAATGAGCAGCAACACATTTTTATTGCAAAATTACAATTAATGCAACAGGAAAATCATATAAAAATATATTTTTATAGTAAAATTAACAACAATACATTTTATAATCTGCAAACTATATATCTAAAAAAACATACCTTTACCCTGAAAGTATGAAATTACATACAAGATATCTACATTTCGGCATTAAATAACCCATAGAGGTTGATATGTTGCCAAACAAAATCAACTACCCAACAATACCTATTTATAGTAAAATTACTTACAATACATTTTATCTGTAATTGAAGGCATACAATTGCGTTTAAAGTCAAGTTAGTTGAAGCTATAAAATAATGTTCAAAATATTTAGATTTCGGCATTAAATAACCCATAGAGGTGTTGTTATGCCGCTAAACAAAACCAACCAATAAACCAAGCGAAAGAAACTGTTTTTTAACGGCTCCCAAACGAATAATATATCATCCATCTTTTACCATATATCTAACTTGTTTAAAAATGTATACACATTTTATTTTATTAGTACGATCACGATTAAATGGTGTCAAATACACAAGTTGTCCATAAATTTTTTGTGCATTTTTAAAAAATTATAAATTTATTTGTATTTGCGATAGAAATAATTTGTAAAAAGGATTAGAAAGAAGTAAATCTATATATTATAAGGTTTTATTGAAATTTTATTTAAGTTTACACATGTCCTCCATCATTAGCAATACAAAGGGTAATACGATTTTGCAGTTTACGGTAAACATTTGCCAACTGATTTACAGTAATGCCTGAAATCACATTAGTTATTTTCATTATACTTAAAACTAGGTACATTAAACTTTATAACATTTTTTACAGATTATTTCTATCGAAAATACAAATAAAGTTATAAATTTTTTAAAGTGCACACGAACTTTATGGACAAACTGTATATCTGTCAAAATAAAGAGGGGAGTTATTCAATTTTTGTGAGCTATTGCACGTTTTTATATTGTCAGCCGTTCTGTCTCGGACGATGACGAAAACGCAGCCGATCTATCGAAACGCATTAAATATTTTATTTAAGATTTGAGCTTCTTTGGGCGTGCTGGTTTTCAGTCGACTCGTTAGTCAGAAAAAACCTTTAGTGAGAATTTTATAACAATTTTATCAATAGTCACGCATCAAAGTTTCATTAAATACAATTGACTAGGTACTGTCATTAAAGATTTTATTTTTCTTCTATTTGTATAATTATTTTCTTTCCTGGGCATAAAGTGTGCAAAAACTATCCAAGTATTCTGTATATCCGAGCACTTTCGGCTATTCTGTTTGCCATTAACAAGGATGCTTCTATTTCTATCTATCAATGACGAAAATTTAAATAAAATTTGAATCGCAGTACGCTAAATGAACATCCATTTTAACATAGTTCAAAACTTAGCCTCTCTCCCGCTTCTTCTTCTTCTTCTTCTTCTTCTTTCTTTCTTTTTCTTTCCAATTTGACCTATCCTTCTTTTTGGTTTGTTTCCATGGCAAAGTTCAGCTATTTTCCCATCGTCCATTTTTGACCCAGTCCTCATAATGGGTATTTGGACGCGAAGTTCATATCGTATGGCGCGGCTATTGTTCAAATTCATCTGCAGATGTTCGAGATTCGAATGAGAACACAGTAGGATATTTATTCGCTCATTCACTCACTGATTTTTCTCGGCATCACTTTTATATTTGTATTATTGAGCACAACTCTTTTTTTTTTTTTTTTCATTCCATTTTTTTTTTTTTTTTTGCTAATTTCTTATCTGTCATTTGTCACTGCCTCATTTTTCGACTCGTTTTTTAATATTCTTATACCGTAAATTCTTCTTCTTCTTTTTCTTCTTCTTCTTCTTCTTCTTCTTCTTCTTCTTCTTCTTCTTCTACTACTACTACTACTACTACTTTTCTTCTTCTTCTTCTACTACTACTACTACTACTTTTTCTTCTTCTTCTACTACTACTACTACTTTTCTTCTTCTTCTTCTTCTACTACTACTACTACTACTACTTTTTCTTCTTCTACTACTACTACTACTGCTTTTCTTCTTCTTCTTCTTCTACTACTACTCTACTACTACTATTCTACTACTACTACTACTTTTTTCTTCTTCTTTTCTTCTACTACTACTACTACTTTTCTTCTTTCTTCTTCTACTACTACTACTACTGCTTTTCTTTTCTATTCTATACTACTACTACTACTTTTTCTTACTTCTTTTCTTCTACTACTACTACTACTACTTTTCTTCTTCTTCTTCTTCTACTACTACTACTACATATCAGCTTTTTCAGTTCTTCTTCAACTTTAACATTGATTTCTATGTGTTCACTAAGAGCCCAACTTTCTTTTCTAAATGGACTACTAGAACTACTACTTTTCTTCTGATTCTTCTTTTTGTTTTTACCTAACTTTTCATTCTTCTTCTACTACTCCTACTACTACACTGTTGTTAGATTTGTTAAAATTTACTTTTTCTTCTTCTTTTCTACTACTACTACTACTACTTTTTCTTCTTCTTCTTCTACTACTACTACTACTTTTCTTCTTCTTCTTCTACTACTACTACTCCTACTTTTTCTTCTTCTTCTTCTACTACTACTGTTTTCTTCTTCTTCTTCTTCTTCTACTACTACTACTACTATATTTTCTTCAACTAACCTACTACAACTATACTTTTTCTTCTTCTTCTACTTCTACTACTACTAGCACTTTCTTCTTTATTTAACCTTCTACTACTACTACTACTACTACTTTTCTTCTTCTTATTTCTTCTACTACTACTACTATACTTTTTCTTCTTCTTCTTCTTCTACTATTATACTACTACTACTACTAGCTTCTTCTTCTTCTACTACTACTGCTTTTCTTCTTCTTCTTCTTCTTCTACTACTACTACTACTACTTTTATTTAACTATTTCTTCTACTACTACTACTACTTTTCTTCTTCTTCTTCTACTACTACTACTACTACTTTTTCTTCTTCTTCTACTACTACTACTACTACTTTTTCTTCTTCTTCTACTTCTACTACTACTACTTTTTCTTCTTCTTCTTCTTCTACTACTACTACTACTTTTTCTTCTTCTTCTTCTTCTTCTACTACTACTACTACTACTACTTTTTCTTCTTCTTCTACTTCTACTACTACTACTTTTTCTTCTTCTTCTTCTTCTTCTATTCTACTACTACTACTACTACTTTTTCTTCTACTTCTACTACTTTTCTTGCTATCTTCTTTCTTTCTTCTTACTACTACTACTATTTTTTTTTCTTTTTTCTTCTTTTTTCTACTACTACTACTACTACTTTTTTCTTCTTCTTCTTCTACTACTACTACTTTTTCTTCTTCTTCTACTACTACTACTACTTTACTACTACTTCTTCTTCTTCTTCTTCTTCTTCTACTACTACTACTACTACTACTTTTTTCTTCTTCTTCTATTATTTTCATAACAACCTTCATTATTTCCATGATTCGTCACTGCCTCTTTTTTTCTTATTCAACCCATTCATTTTTTTTATCAATCGTAAATTCTTTTTATTCTGTTTTCACACTCTTCTTCTCCTTGTTTTTCTTCTCATTCTTCTTCTTTTCATTTTTCATTTTTTTTCTCATTTTTTACCTTTTTCTCATTCTTCTTCTTCTTCCTCTACTTCTTCCCCCCTTCCTTCTTCTTCTTCCTTTCCTTCTTCTTCTTCTTCCTCCTTATCTTCTTCTTCTTCTTCTTCATTATTTTTCTCCTCATTCTTCATCTTCTTCCCATCCTTCATTTTCTCATTCTTCTTCCTTTCATTTCTCCAATCTTCTTCTTCTTCTCATTCCTCTTCTTATTCGCCTTCTATTATTTTCATAACACTCTTCATTTTAATGTTTCGTAACTACTTTGTATTTACGGTCATTTCAGATGCTTTTTCACTTTTTTTTTTTAATTTTTATTTTACTTTCTTTTTAGTTTGGCTTTGTTTCTTTTTTCTATTCGACTTTTTTCTTTTATATTTTCCCCGCCGTTTCACTTCTTTTTCCTTTTATTTTTGTTTTTATTTACTTTCTTTCTTTTGTGTTTTTCTTTGTCCTTCCAACTCTCATCGATTTCATTTCTCTTCTACTTTATTTTTTATTCTTTCTTTTGGTATTTTTCTTTTGTTTTCTCAAATTTCACTTTCTTTTTCTTTTTTTCTTTTTTTTCTCGGTTTATTTTTTCCCTTAGAATATTTTTCTTTCCGTTTTTATTTGTGTTCTTTTTTTCTTTTTTTTGTTTCGTTTTCTTCCTTGTTTTCTTTCTTACATTCTTAAGTCCTTTCTTTCTTTCGTTCTTTCTATCTGTTTTCTTTCTTTCGTTCTTAGGTCCTTTCTTTCTTTCGTTCTTTCTATCTGTTTTCTTTCTTTTGTTCTTAATACGCCTCATTTTTTTTTCATCTTTTTTTTTCTTATTTCCATTTTAATTCCTTTCCTTCTTTCTTTCTTAATGTCTTTAATTTTACTTTTTTCTCTGTTTCATAATTAATATATTTTTTATTTTCTTTCTTTCTTATTCGATGTATTTTTTCTGTATAGTTTTTTTCCCTAGATTCTCTTTTAATTCTTCTTTTCATCTTTTTCCTTCTTTTTTCTTTGTTTCTTCCATTTCCTTCTTTTTCTTCTTTTTTATTTCGAGATTTCCTTCATTAATTTTTGTTTTATTTTTCTTAATCATATTTCTTTCTTTCCTCAATTTTCTTTATATATTATCTCTTTTATCTCATCAGTTTTTCTTTCGCCCTTTCCTTTTCCTCTATTTTATCTCAATTTGTCTGGTCTTGATATCTTTTTCTTTATTTTCTTTCTTTCTTTCTTTATCTTTTCTTTCTTCCTTTTTTCCTTCATTTTTTCTTTTTCTCCCCTTCTCATAACATATTCTTACAATAATGTTATTTTCCTCATTTCAGCCTTCTTATTTTTCACTTCATATTTTCATCTCATTACTTTCATGAAAGAAATGTCTTTACTCTGACGTTCGACGGGCAATTTCCAAAGCAGTTCAGTGAATAAAGAAAAAACATTCAGAGACCTTCCAAAAATTGAATTAAAGTCACAAAATTCGGAACCGAGAAAAAGTTAACAACAACAATAGCATCTGTCTATATTTCTGAGATGAAGTATTATGTACACTATTTACATTA